CGCAGCTTGCGGGGGAGTAATGGACATGGGCCAGCACCCTCGACCCAAACCAAGTGAAAACTTGCCCAGCAAGCTTGGAGCGGCTGCGGCCCATTCATGTTGTTTAATTACTTGTCCATGTACAATTACCCTAGATACGTGTAGAACAGGGTATAAGTACGATGTACGGCCGCCGGCCATAAACACATAATCAATAATAAGAATTCAGCCTGGAGAGCAAGAGCTCTCCCGTGGACTAGTCCCGTCAATCGGGGATACCACGTAAATCACTGTGTCGTATTATCGTTTTATCATATTTCTCACCATGTACTCTTTGATGAATCGGTCTTTCCATTTCGAGATAATCCTCCTACTTCGCCCGATCCCCTTTCCCCTGATGCTTTTCTACCCGACCCTATTTCCCTGCCTCATCCTCCATTTTTCCACGGCCCATCCCCTTCTCCTCCTGTCTCTTCTTCTGTCCAGCCTGCTACCATCCCCCAGCCCACCACGACCCCCCCATCCCCCTCTCAGCCTCCAGACCTTCCTTCCTTCCCTCAGCCAACTCAGCCCACTAAGCCCACTGAGCCCACGTCCGCCCCCTCCCCTGAGCCCACGACACAACCCACCACCCAGCCCAATCAGCCCACCTCACCCGCTCCTTTACCTCAGCCCACTGTGCCAACAGCCTCTTCTCGGCCCCTTCTACAATACCGTCGCCGACCACCTCCTGCTCCATCCTCTCCACCGCCCCTCCTTCAATATCACCGTCGCAATCACCCTTCCCGTCTTCCTGTCTCCTCCCCTGCCCCGTCTCTCCCCTCCACCTCCGTTCCCCCTTCCCATTCCAAACCAATTTCCCCAAACCCTCTCTCGTCCAGACCTCCATTCAACACTTCTCCCCGCATCATCCCTGCTCCTGCCCAGCCCTCTCCTCCCCGAAGAATGACCACTCGGACACAAACGGGTAAATTGAAACCCCGTCAGTTCCTTGCCGCCACTCCTACTGGCGTACCCACCACCGCTGCGCAGGCTCTTAAGTCTCCCCTTTGGCGTGCCGCGATGAACACGGAGTTTGATGCTCTCATTCGCAATCATACATGGGATTTGGTTCCCCCTCCACCAGATTGCAATATTCTGACCAATTGTTGGGTTTTTGCTGAGAAAACCAACCCTGATGGTTCCCTTGAGCGGCAGAAGGCACGGCTCGTGGCTCGTGGATTCCAACAGATTCCCGGTCAAGATTTCGGCCAAACATTCAGCCCCGTTTTGAAGCCGGCCACGCTTCGTCTCTTGCTCGGGATTGCGGTCTCCAACTCCTGGCCCCTTCACCAGATTGATATTTCAAATGCTTTCTTGAATGGAACTTTGCAGGAGGAGGTATATATGCAGCAACCCGTCGGGTTCGTCGATCCCGACCGTCCTGATCATGTCTGCCGTCTGCGGAAATCTATCTACGGCTTGCGGCAGGCTCCGCGGGCATGGTTCACCTGCTTATCTCAGGCCATTCGTGAGTTTGGTTTTGTTGCTTCCAAGACTGATCCTTCCCTGTATATCTACCGCACTCCCACTACTGTTCTGTATATGCTTGTGTATGTGGATGACATAGTCATCACAGGCAATGATTCTGGACTTCTTCGGCAGCTCCTGCTTCATCTTCGGTCTAAATTTGCTCTCCGTGATCTTGGCCCATTGTCATATTTTCTCGGCTTGGAGGTCCACTACACATCTGACGGTCTTATTCTCAGTCAGCGAAAGTACATTCTGGAACTGCTGGACAGGTCCGGGATGTCTCAGTCGAAGTCTATTACTACACCCTGCACAGCTGACCAGCTGATCCAAAGTGCATCAGACGTCTCTCCTGCCTTCCATGATTCAAGTTTCTACCGGAGCATTGTGGGGGGCCTTCAGTACTTGAGTTTCACCCGCCCCGACATATCCTTTGCTGTCAACCATGTGTCCCAATTCCAGCAATGTCCGACCGATGCTCATTGGGCCGCCGTGAAGCGAATCCTCCGTTATCTCCAGGGCACACTTACTCAGGGACTTCTTTTCCAACGATCCTCCAAGCCACAGCTCCATGGTTATTCCGATGCTTCTTTCGCCTCCTGTCCCCGTGATCGTAAGTCGATTTCTGGTTATGCAGTCTACTATGGGCAGAATTTGGTTTCCTGGTCTACACGAAAGCAACAGGCTGTTGCTAGATCATCTACCGAGTGTGAATATCAAGCTCTGGCCACGGTAGCGTCCGAGGTCATTTGGCTTCAAGCTCTTCTCACCGAGCTTGGACAGTCCACTACAGCCCCTGTTCTTTGGTGTGACAATCTGGGAGCAACCTATCTAGCTCATAATCCCGTCTTTCATTCACGCTCCAAGCATCTTGAAATCGAGTTTCACTTTGTCCGGGACAGAGTCAACAAGCAGCAATTACATGTGCGATATCTTCCAGCCACCGATCAGCTTGCTGACGTACTCACGAAGCCTCTGTCTCGCATTCCTTTCCGGACTTTCTGCTCCAAGTTTCACCTCGTCGAGGTTCCACTTGCGGGGGCGTGATAAGAGAGAGTATTAAGTGGAACAGAATAGATCCTCCACTATGTTACCGTTTGAGTGGTTCCTTGTTTATAGCAACCTCTACGTAGGATTTGCATTTTCTGTTGCTGCTGTACTTGTATAAAAACCAATATTCAGTAATGTAAAACTCAGATTTCCAGAGACAATTTCAGACTCCAATAGTTATAACTTATAGAAAGACCTTTTCAGAAACTTTGAAGTGATCATTTATCTTATATCATACCCTCCAACCGAAGGACACACGGATTCATTCGATTCACAATTAGTATAGAATCGACGAAAAACCTAAGTAAAATGTCAAGACCGAAACAAGGGGAAAAAACACATTTAATTAGTCTCGATCCGATCATCTTTGTTCTTCAGTAAACCAATGGAATTGGAAAAAAATCTTTTCGAATTTACAGTACAAACCGGAGCAAACTTACTCATTTTTTCAATCTAATCTGATTCCATGATCCAGTTGGCGTGCCTCCCTCCATCCTTTGTCATTGATTTCTACGAGAAGTTCTGTATATTCCAGCAACTTAGATGTTTTTTTGTATTTTAAAGCTCCACTGCTGGTGACCATCTCAACATATTATTAAATCTTCTCTCTTTCATGGCTGTTAGCTCTTGTAAGTTATCCTAAGACCTCGGTTTTTTCCTTTAGAAATACAAGATAATGCCTAGTGTGAGCAGAATATGACAAGGTTGTGGCTAATGTCAAAAGGCTTATAAAAAGAGCCGAACCACAGGGATTCCATATGGTTGCCGGCAAACGGAGGCAGAAAACAGACAGTTATGCTAGAGTGTTAGCTTGCTGTTTCACACTGGCAGAGCCCTGTCAGGTTCAAATCTACCAATCATATGATAATTTGGATTATCGCGTCTTGTAACAGTCATTCAACTTCGAGGTAACTAACAAATCGATCACTCGTTGTTTGAAATAAAAACTCATCGACATTAACACGCACAATGGTTATCATATCCGCTTGATTTTTCGTCTACGATACCAAAATCAGCATCGCAACTCACCCAAGTCTGGTAAGCAAGCAGGCTCGTCGAGTTCTGTTCGCGAACCAGAGCCCTAATTACCCAGCCAAAAGAAGCTGGTTTTCAGACTGTTTAGTGACCTAAAAAAGCTGGTATATACACTAGGGCAAGATTATTGCTAAGGTTGTTAAATACATTGAAGACCAAAGTTGAATGACCATTTTGTTAGTTGCTCCAAAGTTCAATGACCGTTTCTGTAACTAGACTATTAACAAACCTACGATGATTTCTAGGGAATACAAAAGACAACACTATGTCCCTCCCTACTTAGTAATATCCTTCCAACATTAGCTGTAATATATTTGCCACTGACTCTTCCTCTCTTCTGAAAAAGCCCTAAATAAAACCCCCCCACCAATTCTCAAACGGTTCATAGATCATCCTCTTACAGAAAACACAGAGAGCAGCAAAGCTATGCAGGAAACTACGGTGAGAACGAAGAGCTTTCGGGATGAGGACCACAGCTACAGGAGGGTGTTTCTGAGGAGCTATCCACTTCACTGGGAAGCGGACGATAAAAGTGATGACGACATCAGCATGTCAGCTAACAAGAACGACCAGAAGAAACCTATGAAGAAGATGATACTGTCTGTTTTTCAGTGGGGAGAAGCTAGGGTTCTGGTTCTGAGAAGATTCAAGCACAAGGTCACGGTGTACGCCGTGAGTTGTATCCCTGGTGGCTAAACAAAGAAGACTTATGGGGTCCTAATTTCAATATGATCTCCATTCTTCTTCAGTAAGAAACTCTACTTGAGCCACACATACAAGGGGAGGCAGCTAATAATGTATGTGCTTGGATTCTATGATCGTGGATTCAAAGAGAATCGGAGTGCCTATTTATGCATAGTCAGCTGAAATATCACTCTCTGCCTTTTTTGCCATCATTTTGTTTTCCGATGTTTCTGATACCTATGTGTTATTCTGAATGTATTGAGATAATAATTCACAACAAATGTGAGAGCTCAAGTTGCATGAAACATTAACGCAGTGGCTGACAAGGAGCAATAACATAAATCGCCTCGAGAAATCGAATGATCACTCCCCTATGATTTCTACCTCAGTTTAACAAAAGAAACCCAACTTGATCTGCTTAGTTTATGCAGGAGGGGGATCGGAGAAACAAAGACATGACTTTCGCCTCACTTGACAGACCGTCTAATGAGTTGGATTTTCTTAATTCAGTTCTTTAAGAGCAAACCAAGTCTCAGGAGCTGCCGAAAAACAAAATCCCTAACACTAAAAAAAAAGGCTTTATTAGTATGATAGTATCTAATCTAGAGATCAGATGAATGGAAAACAGCTTTCTATCCTGTAAAGTAACACATTACTAGACCATGTATGGATACATCTGTAAGACTGTAAGTGGTTCTCAAGCAGTAGAGGTTAAAATTACTCAGCTGGAAAGGTTGACGTACTTCTGAATACAAAGGCCCAAAGTTCATTGCTCAAAAAAATATGATTGAAAGACCCATCCCAAAGCATCCTGCTGCCATCCACAGACTCAGACGTTCACCTAGTTTAGCAACCACAAAGCGAAGAGTCAAGTTCTGAAATCAAACTGTAACTGAGCAAGTAGATCGGCAAGTTTCAGAGCACCAAGACCTTTTAAGCTAAAGCAGTTACTTAAATTAGCAAAACAGCTTATCTGATGCTTATGATAATCAATCGTTTCCAGAGGAGACAACCACATTTAGACCGCATGCCCATAGCATGAAACACGCTAAAACGGATTGGAAAATTATGTGAAAGCATTCAGCAATAAAATAGTCAGATGCATGTTTTCATGTTAGGGTAAGCTCCCACTAAGCGCAATTGTAGTCAGCAATGATCATTGAGATGATTAAATCCTAAAATCGAAGCTTGTGTTCATTTCAAGCCTAACCTTGACAGCTATACTGAAGCATTTCCCTGACCTGAGTAATCCAAAGCAACTGACATACTTTCTAATTCCTACAGTCTACAGAGCTTTCACTCCACACCAAATGCTACAGGCATCACGCGTTGCTAATCAACCCATACCACTCAAATGTTCTATACTCAACTGATGACCTGACTACAAACAAGCTATGGTGCAGAATAAATTCCGAAAACGAAAAAAGCAAAAGAAACCAAAATGATCCGGGTAGCTAGACTGACCTATTCTTGCTGCCTTCCAGAAGAAACCACGAAACCTGTAGTTTACAACGAAACACAGTGGTGATCAAAACCTTGATTAAGGCTTCTGCAGAATCAATCACAGAATGTAGAGAGGGTAACAGCAAGCACGAACCCTGTTTTGTGTTCAAGTATGGCTGGGAAGTGCATCTTCACGTAAGTGCAAGTACAAATCACCAACAGCACAACGGTGAGAAACGAATGGAAGTTGAAGAGCGCCGACTGCGGGAAAGAAACGCACCAAAGAGAAATCGATGGAGAGAAATTGAAAACGGAACTCGAATCAACGGAAGAACTCAGACATGCAAAAAATTTGCTATACCATAGCTTTGTTCTGCTACAGCTGACGGAATCGCAAGATTCAAATCTGCAGAGGGGGAAAACAAAGCTCCATTGAGAAACCGGAAACTGAAATTTCCCTCGATCTTCAAGCTCTCGGTATAGCTACCAGATCAGTGAGCAAGTGGGATAGGGAGGTAAGGAGGCTAGGTTTTCGCCGGGGTGCAGATAAAATTTGGGAGTACCAGTGAAGGAAATATAGAAGGAGAGAGATTCGAGTGGACTTACCCAAGGGGAAACTGCGAATTCTTTTAATCCGGCGGCTCAATAGGTGGCGGATGGAGGAGGTAGGGCGGCGGCGCAACCTTATGGTGAGTAACCATGAGTAACCCGTCCACATCAGCATGACATCAGCATCCTAACTCTCATGGAAAGCCTTTAATTTTTCCCTTTTTAATCTTTGACGGACGATTTCTCGCTCATTTTAAGTTGAAATTTAAATTTTTTTGCACAGTTAGATCAGATTAATTGTGCTCTTCAAAATGATATCCACTTAAATATATTTTTCGAACAAAAAAAATTGAGCCATTTTTTACCAGCCTATACCATATGGTATTGACTGGTATTGAAATAAAAGCATACCTATGTTTTGAAAAACGTATCATGGTGGTATGAACAAACCAATACTGTAGGATGGTTGAATACATGATAGTAGAAGTATATTAATTGTAATTTACGACTTTTAACATTGTATACCACACAATACCACCCCGTACCATGGTGGTATTGTATGGTATTGTGTGTTCTTTTTTGGTCATGTAATTTGTTCACCCAGAAATTTGTAGATCCAATAGATCATGATGAACTCGTCCCTTCTGTGCAAACGTTTTCAAAAACGAATTAAAAACGAAGAAGATACCATACAATACCACCCCGTACCAGGGTGGTATTGTATGGTATTGTGTGGTATTTTTTGGTCCTGTAATTTGTTCACCCAGAAATTTGTAGATCCAGTAGATCATGATGAACTCATCCCTGCTGTGCAAACGTTTTCAAAAACGAATTAAAAACGAAGAAGATACCATATGGTATGCAGTTGGTACCGAGAGGCCAGAATTTTTTTTTCCTAAAAAAATATTGAAAATTGATCTCATTTTGTAGAGCACGGTGAACTCGTTCCATCTGTGCAAAAAAAATTAAAATCCGAGTTAAAACGAAAAAGATATGAGTCAATTAAGAAAGCTAGTGAAAATAAAAATAGTCTTTAATTCTCCATCCTTAGATCTGGATTTTCTAAATGAAGGGTCCAGATTTGGTTATTGATGGGTGCATAACCCATGGTTATGCACCCTATCTTGCAGCGGGAAAGAGCGCAAGAAAAATAGAAGGGAGAAGAGCTAACTCAGCTGGCGGCAAAAAGTTACTAGATTGCCATGTACGGTTCGAGATAAATGAATTATATATAAGTTTTGAAGAATTTATTTTGAAATGAAATCTTTTTGTGTTTGGTATTTAAAATGAATTATTATTAATTTTAAATTTTGAATTCTACGGAATTGGAACTAATTATAGAAAATCCAAAGAATTGAGATGAAATTTCAAAATAAATTTCACCTATATTTTACTAATTATAATAAATGACATAATTATCCAACATTTTACTAAGGGTTCGTTTGGTTTTGGTGATAGTTAAATTGATAGATTGTCATCAATGCATGCATAATAATATACATGTATATACGAAAATTGGTGTATTGTAGTTTACATCGTTTGGTTTCTGTGATAGTTATTAAAGTTTTAAATAAGTTATATTACTTTTTTGCTTGAAATGTCACTTTTATCCTTTGTTTTTAATATGAAAAAACAAAACACATAAGAAAGTAGGGTCATAGTTGGAACAAAAACAAAACCAAACAATCTCAACAATCTCACAAAAAACTTGAGATTTAACTATCACTCATTTTGAGTGATAGTTTGTGTCAAATCAAGCAAACAATGCTTGTATTGTTTGTGCAGAAAATTCAGAAAAACGATGCATTATGGACAATGCATATATTGTAACTATCCCAACCAAACTATCACCAAAACCAAACGACCCCTAAGTTTCTGGATCCTCCAATGGCTAATGTCAATGATTTGCTGGTGCTTTCATCCATGAAGCAGCCGAAGCCTGAGCCATTCTCGTTGAAGCCGAGTCCACCAGAAAATTCCGTTAACCTTGGTTTCTCGTAAGAAGTCACTTCATCAAACTTTTCCCGAGGTTTGATCCAAATTTAAGTGCTCCAAAGTGTTTTGAGATGGTGAAGTTCGTTATTGGAATGTTTACTCTCTCAAACTTTAGCAGATTAGAGATATGCTGAGAAGCAATAGGACCGAGAAATGATTCGATTTTCTGCATTGGTTTATAACGCATTGGGAGCGGTATCCATTTTATCATTGATGTTTGGTGCACATTCTCCACAGCCTTTTGAATGGGTCTTGCATTGGTTTACAACTATCCTACGTTATTGCTTAGATTCAAGATTGGGAATATGGGTAAGAAGCAAGCAGACCCTAGACTGGAGCCTAAGAAGCACAGAAGGCAATCTCGGAAGAAGATCAATCCGTCGTGCTGCCTGCAAACTGTGCACTCTTGATCCAAGAGGCTGGCTCTATCAGTAGAGTGCAGTCGGATCAAATGCAATCACTCTGTAGCGAATTCGTACTCAACTCGATCCCAAACCCGATTTGGTCGTAGCTGTAGAATTGATAAACACCATCACCTAGCGAATCCATCCCCAGATCACCACAGATTATCAGTGGAGTTGATGAAAACTAACTTCAAAAAACCAATTCCTTGGTATCGAATTTGCCCTCGTAGTAAATAGAAATTGAAAGAACCAACCTCCTAGATGATTAATCTAGCCCTAGGCAAACAACCCAGAAATCAGAAAGCTGTGAAAGCATGCCTACTCAAAAGCTATTCTTGTGATTCTTTTTTGTGTTTGCAAAGCTGGAATCTGTAGAAAAGTTCATGGCAAATTCCCCCAGACAAATACTCTGTTCTAGTTTCTATTGAACCCATAATTCCCCACTAGGAGAGAATCCTAGTACGAAGCAGAAAATTTCAGAAACCCTACTTCTTGGCCTTGCTCTTCTTGGAAGCGACGGGCTGCGGCGGCGGCGGCTTTGGGTGCTTCTCGGCCTCGAGGGGATCCAGCCAGCGGAGAGGGTGGCGATTGAAGCAAGGCCAGTTGGGGACGACGATCAAGGCGGTGAGAACAACCCCGCCGGCGTAGATCAAGATCATGGTCTGGAACGATCCCATGATGTAACCGGTGACGAACGCCATCACGGCGGAGGCCAGCAGCAGGAGCTGCATCAGCTGCTCGGCTACCTTCTGCCCCTGCCAGTCCATCTGCAAGATCGTAATTCCCAAGCCAGAAACAATGAGGGGGAAAAAAAAAAAAAGAAAAAAAAAAGGCAAAGGTTTAGAGATAGATGCACAGTTTCGTCGTGGATTTCTAGGGATTAAAATCCGGGTAGAATGGAATTAGGAAGAGAAATTGGGTGACCGAGTAAACGGAGATAATGGCGGGAGACTTAGAGACTCACCGTGAAAGGAGAGAACAGATCGGCGGCGGTGGAGGAACTGTGAGTAACGGCGGCTGTCAGAGAGAGCGATGAGAAGGGGAATAGAGAAGTCGGGGAACTGTGAGTAACAGTCTTGGGATAGTCTTCCGCTGATCTATTCTTCTTTTTCTCCCTGGCCTCTGGGAAAATAGATACAATAAATGAAAAATCGGCAGATATTCGCGAAAGGCAAACGCCGAACGGAGAAAGTTGGATCATGGCCTGTGAGATTACTTCTTAGTGGGCCCAGATTGGTCATGGGCCCATCGTGGATGATTGTTGGTAGGTTCGTGTTAACGGTAATGGGGATTTGTGAAGCTGCACCATATCGACTGAGTGCATACCAATAGACAATTTTATTCATGCTGAACAAGTTAAACCATGATCGAAGCAGAAAATACAATACTATTGACTTATCTGACACAACCTTCCGTATTATTTTAAAATCTTTCATTTTACAATACCTATTCATGTTAAACACTTGACTTGGGATATACGAAGATATTCCAGCTTCCAACTTAAACTAATGAATCATAAGCTTCAACTAATTTCATTGAACTGCATTAAACTACGGCTTAGGAAGAAGACAACACCTTACAACTAGCCACACACTGTTAGAAGTTTAGGGTTTCAACATACACACAAAAGTAAAAAAAATGTTGAACTAAGGGGACAAAATCATCTTCCATCGCCTTACTTTGTCGAAAATAACGAGCTAAAGCCTAAAGTCAATTAACTTCTCCCAAGTGACAAGAGAGGCATGTCATGCCAGAAGCTTCATTCCAGCTACGCAATTGAGAGGAGCAATAACTCATTTAGATTGGCAAAACTTAACTTCGAAGAGGGCAGGCAAAACAACGATATTGGCGACAAAATTACTGATAGAACAATAAAAGGGGAGTGACAAAGATCCACAGAATTCATCAAGTTCGATTCGCTTCCTTCTAAATAAAACTTCTCCCAGCTCTATAATAGATGGGACAAAACCAAAGCTCTCCGAAATGATAAAACAACACAGGATGGTAGGAACAAGCTTAAGAAGATGCACCACTTCGCAAAGCCTGGGACTTCCTTGATTTGCCGGTAGTTGCCACCTGAGTCTCGGGCTGTAATAGCAAATAACAGGGCATAAACAAACGAGAACACAGAATAGCAACGGAAGATTAGGCAGTTTTGACCATCTTCAGAATGCAGTAGAGGGGAAGATAGACTATATTACCTCTTTCTTGACAGGTTCTTCCTTCTCGGACAAGGTGAGCTCAATGTGGCAAGGACTGGACATATAAGCTGCAATATGAAAAGAAAAGAGAGATTAAAACATCAGACAATAACAAAATGAGAGAAGGGCTGGCAAAAGGAAGGGAGAAGTAATAAAAACATACGATTGATTCTTCCATGTGCACGGTAGGTACGACGTCTTTGCTTCTGAGCCTGATTCACCTGGATATGCGAAATGTACAGAGCATCCACATCCAAACCTTTAACCTGCAAAATTACAGAAGAATATTGCATTAATTTACCAAACAGTAAGGAGAGGAGAAGTAAACAGATTATTCCCCATAGGTAGTGTTCTGTTGGTAGATTATTGCATGAATAAGTGGCTGGGCTTCTCTAATAGAATTGTATTTCGATTTGTTGATTATTAGCAGAAACCAGAAAACCAACCCAGGGCAGGTATATCTTGCCCATGTCTGACATTAACATACCTCGGCATTGCTCTCTGCATTCTTCAACAAATCAAGGACAAACTTAGCAGACTTAGCGGGCCAACGACCCTGTCCATTGGGGTGCCCCCTGTTCTTAGCCTGAGCAGTTCGGCCAACACCACGGCAAAATCTCCTGAAAGGAATTGCCTGCTTGTGGGCAATGACATCCTCCAAGTAACTTTTGGCCTTCACCAACGACAACTTCCTAATGGAAAACGCTGTCTCCCTTGTGTTCTACTCAATTAAAACATTGCAACACCATTAATAACATGAAATTACCAAGCCGAATCTTAAAAGACCCACAAGGACAAAGGTCTATGATACAACGTCATGTACTAAATTTGAGTACAGATATGCTCCAAACTAAGAAAAGATACTGCCCCATGAATGAAGGGAATGCCAAGGTTTCCCTATGAAATCAGCAAAAGTCCACAAAGGCAAACAAGCTCCAGGTTTTGATTCAACACTGTAACCTAAATGCTGCAACCCACATCCTTAACCAGCAGAAAAACTCTAAGGAAGGCAATGGCAGATTAATCTATTCCAACTATATAGACAACGTCTTTATATAGAGATTTCTACTGGGAAATTTAGCTATTTAAAGAATGATCCAACCAAAACCAGGTAAGTAAACAAATGTTCATCATGACAAAACCCTAAAATATGACTCTAGCATTCCGTCTCACCAGTCTAAACAAAAATAAAGAGCTTTATTAAAACCAACTCTAAGGAAATGGTTTCGGTTCAGAAACTAAGAAATTTCAGATCGCAAACACACCTTGAAATGAACACGGAGATCAGAACCCCTAGCCTTGCAAGCTGCAAACACAAAAGCAAAAGACAGATAAACGAACCGTCAAACCCATTCTTACCCTACAAACGAGAATAGAAGAGATTTGCATTCAGAATAAAACCCTAAGCGCGGGCCGTGAACTTACACTTAGTCGGGTTCTCGGGCTCTCTCGAGTACTTCACCTGAAACCACAAACGCACACAGCGAGGGATTAGAGAAACATGAGTCTCCGTGGAGGAATGCAGAGATCAGACAGAAGGAGAAGATAGGGAAAGCTTAGTAGCTTACCATGGCGGCAGCGGGAGTGAAACGAGGACGGCTGCGATATTACTCGTTCTGCGAAGTGCGAAGAGAAGAGGGTTTAGATGAGGATTAGGATTATATATAGTGCGAAACCCTAGGGCCTTTTTAAGTATTGATTTGGGCTGTGCTCCCACGAGCCCGAAACCTGACCTCGTTATGGGCTTCATCGGTCAAAATGAATAAGGCCTCTAAAGTCAATTTTGTAAAAAAATGGAGTAGCTAAAGGTCGCCCTTAAAATTGCTAAAGGTCGCCCTAAAAAGAATCAAAGTTACACTTTTAACCTCCTTAGCTTCTTTACCTTCCCTTTCTCAAACAAACATCACTTGGACTAAAAAAACACTATATAAGGAGAGAAAAATCTCTCATCGTCATTTTGAAGCCGATATCGTCGGTAGGACGTCTGAATCATGAGTAGCGACTCCGACGAGGTAAAAACATGAACTGAAAAAAAAAACACAGAAAATGGGAACCGCGGGTGATTTGCGGTCCGGCCATGGTCCAACCGCAGGTCACTTGCGGTTGGGCATTTTTTGGGTTTTTTTTTCGTTGAATAATTTTCTATTTTTTATATGATTTATGATTTGTTCCATGAAATAATTTGTTGGGTTTTGATTTATATAATTTTTTAGATTTATTTGCATAATTATTTTTGGAATTGAAGGATTTAGCATTAGAAATTAAGATTAGATTTGGTGTTAATATAATCTTAAATTTAAGGATTTGGCCTTAAATTAAGATTAGATTTAATTTGGTGTTAATCTAGAAAATTAAGATTAGATTTTGCATTACAAATTAATATTAAATTTATTGCATAAATAATAGATTCGCATATGAAGTTATGATGATTATTAAATTTAATACTGATAACATTGCAGGATATTGGAAGTTACAATCCGGATGGCCATGATTACACCTCGGATTTCATTGATGGCGTGAAATACACTACGGAGTTGCAAGCATATGAAGCAGCCCCTGAGATTGCAGAGGGTTTTGGGTTTTATTTGGTGAGGGCATCGAACAAAAAAAATAAGAATGAAGGTACTTGGCGACATTACTTACATTGCACTCATGGTAGGAAGAAGAAGTCGAAGGAACCTAATCCGAGTAAGGAAACGAGGCCTCTTACATCTACTGAAAAGTTGGGGTGCGAGTTTCAGATCAAGCTTGAGCTGTCAGGTGATGGATATTGGTTGATCCTAGGGGTGGCAAATACAAAGAATCCTGGTGCTAATTTGGGTTTCCACAATCATCAGTTGGAGCTATTTCCGGAGGGATCAAAGGGAAGGAATGTTTTGACTACAGAGGATAAGCAATACATCAGAGAGCTTAGATCAGCCGGTGTCCCACCAAGGAATATCCACAAGGCAGTGAATGACAGAAAAGGTGTAAATGGAACACACAACAGAAAGCAGATTTATAACGAGTGTCACAAGATAAGGAAAGAAGAGCTTGGTCAGATGACAGCCTTACAGTATACTTTCCGCATGGTGCAGAAGAAGGGTTACTATGTGCAGTATATGGACGATCGTAACGTGCTTACCAAGGTTGTCAAACCGGTTTATGCCAGTGTGCCGGTTTAGCAAGTGGAATGGTTCAACCGGTGGCACATACCGGTTTGTGCCGGTTCATGCCGGTCAATATTACAAATAAAATTATAAATACTCATATTTAAACATGACATTTAACGTCAATACCTAAACATTTATACTTGAATCCAACAAATAACATCAATATTTAACTTTTATACTCATAAAATAAATAATAAAATAATTTTTATCAATTAAATTCTCTAAAATAAGGTTATTTTACTTAGAGATTCGTATATCGATCATGCCGGTCATACCGGTAGTGTCATACCGGTTTTCTAACCGGTACCGGTTGAACCCGGTACAACCGGTGGCACGCCGGCCGGCGTGACAACCATGGTGCTTACACACTTGTTCCTAGCCCACCCCGAGTCAATAGTGATGTTGCGAGCTTGGCACTATGTGATCGTGATAGATGCAACATACAAGACCAATAAGTATGATATGCCTTGGGTTGAGATTGTCGGCATGACACCAGTGGGATTGAACTTTGTCATTGCATCTGCAATAGTGTACGACGAGACGAAGGAGTCGTACCAGTGGCTTCTGACGCATTTGCAACATCTTCTTGGCCCCATTGTTCCAGATGTGTTTGTCAGTGACAAGGCAGGAGGATTGGTTGAGACCGTGGGGGTAATGTTTCCATCATCGACTCATATATTATGTCTTTGGCATATGGATAGGAATGTGAGAGCAAAGTGTCTAATGGAAGTGCGAAGGACGACTCATTGTGGTATAGATGCAGCCAAACCGACAGTGGATCATATCATGGCGTCTTGGCAACGTGCTGTATATGCATTGACAGTGGAAGACATGGATACTGCCTTAGAGAATTTCAGACGTAGTTGGGGAGTACAGTACCGACGTCTTTGGGGGTATATGACAGCTGAGTGGTTACCAGTTAGACACATGTGGGCTAAATGTTATACCAATCAACTGCGGCATTTGGGTAACACAAGCTCTAATACTGTTGAAGCTGCCCATTCCTCCTTCAAGAACTGGCTTCAATCATCTACTGCCGCAGTCGACACGGTTAGTAATCTAATAAATCTTCATTGATACACACATAAGTTTTAGTAGTCTCCTAATTGTTCTTCATTGTCTGTAGGTATACAAGAAGAACGATGATTACATTGAGGCTCAACACCTTCAAATCAGGAAGCTGCTAGAGGATTCCCGACAAAAGAAGCTGCTCCGAGCGGATGGAAAACCATTTCGAGAGTTGAATACGAAAGTCACTCTAGAAGCTCTGAGGTTGATGTTGTTCGAGGTAGCAGTGGAAGGGGAACCTTGTCTAAATGCTGCATCATGCACACTGTCAAGTGAGACAATCATGTGGCTTCAACCATCTCCTTGGAACCCTCTGCACTCCACTTATATCGCCTCAAAGTCTCTACAGCTCTCGGCCTATGGAAGCCATCCAACACTCCACGGTCCTGCTCAGGGGAATTCCACAGTACAAAGCCAATGTGACCTCCAAAGCTAGGGGATCACATCGGGAATCACTGGTCCACCTGAACACATCGGAGACTAGGCTGTAAGAAACCACGACATATCTTTCCTCGTGGTCTTCCTCTTCCTATTTCCATCTCCGCCATCCTCGCTACTAGGTCTGGACGCATAGCGTCCATCGGGCCCACGGAAGTGGGAGTAGGCAGTAGAAGATATCCCGACCCGCGCCGTCTTCCCCACGCCTAAATCAGCTTGAGGTGGGGCATCCCCAGCCTCGGCATCACCAGCACGATCACTAGCAACATCAACAATATCATCACCAGCATCTGGGGCATTCCCAACCTCAGCATCACCGTCATCATCATCATCCTCGTCAATGGAATCACTCCAATTAGCCTGCCATACCGGTGCGCTATCTGGTGTAGGAGTACTGGTAGTACCTCGACTAAGAGACAACTGCCCCACAGTAGGGTGGCCGTCAGGACGCACTACATCCGCCTTCTTCTTCTTCCTTCTAACCTTAGGTGGATTTTTTTTCTTCATTTTCCTTCCTACCAGTCGCCGTAAGTCTACAAGCACGACCTTCCATTCTCTCCTTATTTCTCGCCTTAATCATATCCGGTTTACCCATTCCATGTACAGACATCTTCAAAAAAAAGTTTGAATTATTAATAATGGAGTACATAAAGTAATTAATTTAAGATTTTCATAATTAAAATTATAAAACTAACAGTTTTAACATTTATGTTACGTTCTATGTAATAATTATTTACTTTTTAATCAAGGTCAAATTATTAATAATTAAGTAGATAAATGAATTACGTTGAAATTTTGATTATTAAAATGATAAAAACACATTTTTAAATTTTTATAATATTCTTTAAATTTGTTATCATTAATTAACAATTATCGAATATGTTTTTAAAATTTTTATATCATATAACTAAATTAACATTTATCGAATACGTTATTATTAATTATCATTATAACTAAATTAACATTTATCAATAATATAACTAAATTCTTTTTATTAAGTATATTTTTTTAATTTTTTTTATTATTATTAACATTTATTTAACGAATAATAAAAACACAGAATTAAAAAAACAGAATTAAAAAAAAATGGGTCGACCGCAGTCAAACCGCGGTCAACGCGCGGTTCGACCAGCGGTTGACCGTCGGCCCACCCGCGGTTTGACTGCGGTCGGTATCCCAAACACACATTCTCCGGCGAGGCTGGTGGGCGGAGAGGCGCGGGCGGCGAGGCTGGCACGGGCAAGGGCGGCGGCGAGGCTGGCGACGGGAGCGAGTCGACAGCGACGGGAGGACGGCAAGTCTCCGGCGCGACCTTCTTCTCCGGCGGGACCTTCTTCTCCGGCGGCGGATTGATTGCAGAGGGGGTGGGGGTTGCCGGCGGCGGGTTTTAGTTGCAGAGGGTGAGGGGGTTGCCGGCGGTTGATTGATTGCAGAAGGGGTGGGGGTTGACGGCGGCGGGTTTTATGTGCAGAGGGTGAGGGGGTTGCCGGCGGCGGATTGATTGCAGAGGGTGAGAGGAAGGGAATCGCGTGGGAAGGAGGGTGAAGGGGAAGGGTTGTTTGGCTGGTCCATTTTTTTAATTTTCATTAAGGGTATTTGGGTAATTTGACTTTTAAGTTAGGGCGAGGTTTAGGAATTCTTAGGGCGACATTTAGCGATTCAGAAAAGAATTGGTGAATGGGGCATGCTGTGTATGGAAAAAAAAGGGGCATGCTGTGTGCTTGTGTTCGTTTATCTTTCGTGTGATGAAGCTATAAGACGGCGACAATTTGTCTTTCTATCTATTTATTGTTCTTCGCTTGATGTTCCTTTCTTGATTGTTGGTGATTTTAATGAGCTCCTCAGTTCGGTTGAAAAACAAGGAGGCAGAGAGTTCAATCTGCAGCGTGCATTGCCGTTTCGAAATTTGGTAGATGATCTAGGTTTGTTGGACATTGGTTTTAAAGGCCCTAGATTTACTTGGTCGAATAGACACTCTGATCATTCTATTATCTACAGTAGGCTGGATCGATTTCTTTTCTCGT